GGAATGTGCTTGTCAAAAACTACCTCCCGTAGTAAGTTAATAGAGAGCAGAAGTGAAAAGGAAAGCAACACACACTAGTCCGATGCATCTGACCGACCGTCGTGTTGTTCCTGCAAAAGTTTCACTTTTTTTACCAAAACTACTTCATCAAGCTTTCCTGAAGAAAAATAGACCAGAGAAGAATCTTCTTCATTTTGAAGAAGACCGTTTCCCATCCTCTCCCTTCATTTGGCCTTGCCTGCAGTTGCCTTTACTTTCATGTAGCGGGAGCGGCCCTGTATTAGTTTGTTTCCTGAAATCATACACTTTCGAATAAGTAGGGCTAACGCTCGCACGACAAGGAGTCATGTTCTTGATAAAACCGTAAACGTAAAGGTTCAACCAAAACAATTCACTTCTCACAAAACAGGCCCGATTGAGACGGACAAAAAAAGTCTCATTCATTTCTGACAAAACATGGTGGGACTACGACCTCGAGGGAGGACAAGTAGACACCACCCAGTAGTGTAGTGGCGAGGACCAATTATGCTGCTCCACTCACTAGCAAAGTATGCTCTCAGCTCACATAATCGAGCCTGAGAGTAAAATTTAAAAAAACTTTTTTTTCTTTCGAACTTCTTCCTCGCGCACACAATATTTAGCTGTAATATCGTGTGCGGTCCGGAAGTCAACGCCTATGATGCAGGACAGCCAGCCTGTTCAAGCTCTCACGCATTTCGCGGGAGCTGTGGCCGGCTGCCGATCGAAAGGAAAAAGCAAAGCGCTACATGTCCCCACCCTACAGGGTTCGTGTAAAATGAAAACGTGTTAGATACGAATACGGTCGAGAATATCTGCGCGCTCCTACAATTAGATTTTGTCGAGAGCGGCGCTGCGTCTACTTGGTGGTTGTGTCTCAACCTACCTTGCGTGTGGCTTCATATCGTTCAACTGCTACGCAAGTCTTCAGAAAGGAAAAGGCTGTGCTCGTCAGCCCTATCGGAGGAATGAAGCCGTGGCTCATGACTTCGGCGCTGTTAACGGCGGCGGCTACTGCTGCTGCTGCGGCGTCGGGCGCTGTGGCTCCTGCTGGGGCGAAATCGCGTTGGAGATTGGCTCTGTTCCCGGCCACGACGGGAAGATGCCGGCGGAAGCGAGTTCGATCGGGCTCCTGCGGTTACGAGTAATTGGGACACAATCTTGTAGTTGTACTTGGCAGCGTCCGTTTTGGAAAAATAGCGAATCTTGGCACCCCTCGCCCGGATGCGGTCCGCCAGTTGCTGAAGCACGCCACGGTAGGTCCAAATTCCTGCCGACCCCTCGGGGGCTTGCTCCCCTGTGCACTGCTCCCGGAAGGAAAATGTGCTCGGCAGCCCACGAGCCCCCACGTGGCGGCAGAATTCTCCCAAATCGCGGCGAGCTTTGAACTCCGCAACCTCATAGACAGCCTTTTCTTCGTAGCCCTTTTCACTGGGCAAGAGCTTGGCCATGCCGTTCCCACCAAGCGTATGCTCGGCACCCTGTTGCTCGAGGTCGAGGTGCTCTTTCGGGCTTTCCACTACCCCGCCGAGAATGACTTCGGCCGGTGTCTGGCCTTCCGCGGAGATGAACTTAATCATAGCAGCCGTGTCGGTACGCGGAGTCCAGGGAAATCCGTGAACGCTGGTATCAGCCATCACAAAAATGAAGTCGTACAAGCTGCCCACAATGCGGTACGGCATCGGCATGTAACCCACAGGTTTGTGCCCCATCACAGCAGCGGTGACCGGGACGCCATCAACGCCAGCGTCCAACAACTTCCACAACGCTTGGGTCCATTTATCCCCGTCGTTACGGGGCGGAAACTGAATATGCTCGGACCCCTTGCCACCGTAATATGTCGTTTCATCGATTGATGTGTACGGTAAGTCGACCACGGTGTCGTTGATGTGCAAGTCGACCACGGTGTCGTTGAAGGCAACGGAACGGTACATGTTAAACGGTTGGCCGTAAAGCCCGAGACTGGCGCCCGCCTTCTCGTTAGCCAGGCGGCGCAGGTAAGCGGCCCCGAAAGTGTCGTTGCCAAGCAGGAACGCTTTCGGGCGTCTTTCCAGCGGCTGTCCGTTGGCGGCGGCGAACTCTTCAACTTGATCCTTCGCGAAGTTGTTTACTCCCGCAACCCACTCGGACAGGGTGTCGACCTTCCGCAGCCAAGAGCAGCCCTCAGCCGTGCAGGCTTTGTGCAGCGGTACGGGAACGTACCCGATCGAAGTAATCCACTGCTTGTTCGAATTCCACAGAACGGGCTGACCGTGGGTGTAAAGCACTCCACCGTGCACAAGCACTAATTGGGCGGCCTTCAGGTAGTCGCAGAACACGCCGATGTAACTTGCTAACCCAAGGGCGGACAGGATCACGCTTTTCCCAGTCTTCTTTTTGCAGTCCACGTGCTCTTGAAAGGATTTCGCGACCTCCGGGCCTGTCGGCTGGACTCCTGTCATAATTTTGATTTCCTCTCCGCGAAATTTGAAATCTCCGCCCGCGCCTGTGTTGTTCCCAAACCAAGCCGCTGCGTAGGGTTGACTTTGCTCCTGATCTTTCACAGCTTCAGAATCTTTGAAAGCTTGATACTTGGCTGCGAGCCCGCAATTCGGCTTCGCCACTTCCTTCTCATTCAGCCACACCTCGGCTCCCTTCTTCGCATTCGGGTGATACCACGGCCCCGGGAGATAGTTGTCACGTTCCACATTGTCCAACTCGGCATGCCACATCTGGTTGATGTCACGATTCCCAATGATCAGCATCACACGCTTGGGATATTTCGTCTTGAACTCGACCAGCATCTTGGCCAAGCGCATGCCCGCATTCCCGCGAGTAGTCAGGTCACCGCCAAACACGAATCCCGTCTTCTTGTCATCTACGAACTCTAATCGCATCACGAGCTGATCTTCAATCTGAGCGCCAAAACGCTTCACGCAGTCAGCCTTCTTCTCCACGCGGTTGGCATTTGGGTTTTGCTGCTGAAGCTCTTCGCTGGTAATGCCGGACGTGACACTGAACCACTCGCAGAAGTGTTCATGCATCCCCTCCCAGTCGGTACCATACACAACTTCGGTCACATCAGGAGACATAACACGATGATCATCTCCGCTTGCGGTGTCGTCCGCGTACGCGTCCGACGAGTCTGAGCCCGTGATTGATTATTTTTTCATATTTACGTAGAAAAGTCGACAAGCTGAACATGAGGATCATAATGCGGAGGTCCCTCAAATAAGATTGCAGCGAACACCAACACTAGAAGTGCGGCCCAAAAAAGCACAGCATGGCAGCTTGCCGGAGGCGGCTGAGACAACATGACATAACAAAAGCAGCCAAGCAGGCATTGATGAGTAGATGAACCGACACTACAGATGAAATACACTCGTACCACAAGTGAGAAGCGGATCCTCCTGGTCCCCACAGCCCGGTACAGCAGGTCCCCTGTTTCTCCGGCAGCAGCCGCGAATGCGGCTTACAACACCGGAAGCCGCGACGTGTTCTCCCGCAAGCAGGAGCGCGAGCGACGAGGTGAACATTTTGGTCTTAGACGACAGGCGCGGCATCGTTGCGTTGCTGGTATAATTTGTTCACAGACTCAGCTCTGGAACAGAGAGGGTAGGATGTAGATATTTATAGTTCCAACACTAGTAAAAACACGGCGAGCACCGAAGATGAATGCTTTACTGCTTTTTGGTACTACGAGTACGACCACGTACGACAACTTTATTCGTTTGTTAAGAAAGTAGTTGACAACAATAAGACTACGAAAACTGTTTCTTTTTGCTCCTCGGAAGCGCTTCTTTAGTTTTTATGAAAAAGGTGGTTGCTTTTTGTTTGCTTTTGAAGTGGTCTTTGGTACAACTAGTTGTACTTGTAGTTGTTATGCTTTTCAAGTGTAGTAAAGTATTCTCCACGAAGGGAAATCTCTAGCTGCTGATGGTGTTGATGTTTTGCAATTCTTCACTTGTACATACAATCAGCAAGCCGAAGCAAGGCGGCGCTCTTTCAGCGACGTGGTTTGGTGTAATCAATGCGCGAGGTGTAGCGCAGTTGATTCCTCTCGTTTTGGTTTTCTTTATCGCTCGAGCAGATCAATTACAATTTACACCTACTTTATCAAGAAGGATCTGGAATTTACTTTATCAAGAAGGATCTGGAATTTGTTTCGTGCCACATCAACATGACCGCATCTAGGATCCGCGATTCAAAGATTTGCCGTCC